TGCATGTCTTTCTGTGCGACGTTTCGTGCCTTTCCGCGCAAAATTAAAATGCGAAAGACGCGAGATTAAAATACATCCCAAAATGAGAAATTTTGATTTGAAGATATCAATGCATAGTCTATGAGTTTGTCATAGGTTTCTCAATTTCTACAAGTTTGCATCCTCCATTGCTCTATAATGCCAAGTGTTCCTGTAACACAAGAAACATAGCAAATATATGAAAAGGTGATAATATTTGCCAATAAAAATTAAAAAAAAAAAGTGGTACACTGGATTAAGTTTTATCTTAAATACAAAGTGGGTTGACACAAAAATCATCCAACTATTTGGCCTTTTAGTCCACAAGGTGAGCAGGCCCAGAAAAAGTCTAAGAATATACAAAAATTTAATAGATAAGAAGGGAGCTAGAATTTTGAATTTTTCATATAGGCCTTGACCAAGCCTTATTAGCATGGGCCGGGATTCTGGGCTTTCTGAGCCTATAAACTAGGTGAAGAGAAGCAATTAGGCATTCAGTCTTCTAACTTTCACTGATCTAAGCATATTTTACTCTAAAGATAGACCACCTAACCACCTCCTCTTCATCTGAATCAGAATTTACAAAACATCATATAAAGCAAGCTTTCAACAACACTATACATTGCTCAGTTTTCTGACCATCAGAACCATTATCTCCAGCATGGAACCTGCTGCTACTCATGAAATCAAATCAACTCTTGCAACAAGAGTTTCTCAACCACAAAATTCACCACCGCTCATGAAGATTATTCATGAATATGCAACCACACGAGTAGATGTCTTAACCACATAATTTCAAATTGAAAAGGGGTTGTCTGCAAAGAAAGATAACTTATTTTGGATTATTAGGCTGCCATGTTTGATCTTACATCATAAATCAATTTGAACACTTCAGAAATACGAAAGGATATTTCTAGTTTTCTTGTGCCTTTGATTTTTTGGAATAAATATAGCTACTATTCATTTCCTAAAGCAAGGTCCATGAATAACAAAATTAACATTATCATATTGACTTATGATCTTATTTTATCAACGTGTTATACTTTCACATACAACCATGTATTATATACATCTTTGTATTGATCCACATCAGGATCAAAGAACATTATAAACAAGTAAGAAAAAAGAGAGGTATAAGAATAAAAAGGAACACTGCCAAAGATTTAATATTACAACTTCCCCATACACCCAATAAGAAACATTCTACTCTACTAGTACAGCTCCCCTGTATTACACAAGTAACAATCATTTAATTATGTAACCTGGATGGTGAGATGAGGATCCCAACGTCCAGTGAAGATGCCTCTAGAAGGCAATTAAGATGCCACAAAGGACCAATGTCTCATCATGTCATCTGTAGTAAAGTCCTGCAACTCCTCCCCCATTCAAACTTAATGAGCCACTGATTCTGATAAGATCAATGATGGTGCCCTTCTATTTTTTGCATTTTGTTCTTCCTAAATTGACCAAAGCAAAAATGGTGAAATTGGATCAAAGTTTTTTTTTTAAGTTAAAAGCAATTTTTATTAAATGAAAAGGAAAATTACGAGGAAGGCAACTGGTCACCCGAAAGTGTTTCCACCAGTGACAGTTCTAGTCTTGGTAAGAAGGTCCATTCTCCCTAAAAGCTTGACTGAATTGATGATAGAATATATTAGTTATGTTCTTTTTTTTCACTTTATGTCCATTTGACTTTTATAAAGTGAAAAGCCGATCTTAGCCGGTAATGGAATTAGACGCTTGAAAAAAAGTAGGCCTGGCATGTGGTAGGAATTTTACTCAGATTTTAATATATAGAGGTGTAAATTTGGTTGTGCCGCTTGTGGCTCGGTATAAACATGTGGGCTGTGCTAAGCCTGGGGTTTTAGGTCCACGGGCTGGCACAGTATGGCACAACTGAGCAAGCCGTGCCGCCCGCGGCCTGCAGCCCGGCCCAGCATGGCCCATATATATATTTTTATTTTGTTTTATATATAGTTATATAATATTATATAAATTATAATTATATAATAATATATAGTATATAATATATTAATAAAATAAATATTTTTTATTTTATTATACTAATTTATTTAATTATTGTATATATAAGCGATTTTATACAAAAAATTCATATAAAATTAAAATTTTAATTATTTTGTCAATTTTTTAAATAAATAGCTTTGGCCCGATGCACAGCCCAACCTAGCCCAAGGCTCGGCCCGTGGCACAACACGGGCCCGGGCCATGGGCCATGCCAAGCCGACTCCCAAATTTTTCACTAAGGAGGGTGGCATGCCCCGCATGCCAGCACGGCACAGTCCGCATTTTGCACGGGCCATGTCAAACCGGCCCGGCACAGCCCACTTTACACCTCTATGTGGATATATTGCATATTCTAGTTTCTGAGAGAAAATTTAAAGGATCAGAGACAAAAGAGATGATGGGTCTATAATCTTGGAGAATACAGGTGTCAATGGACCAGTCTTAGGTTGGAACCAATCTAAATTAAAGCCATTTTGATCAGATTGGACGGTCCAGACATTTAATTGGACTGGTCCAAAATGGTCAAGAGTATATTATTCATCAGATTGGGTTGGACCTATCTGTAAACTGTAATGGACTCATACTGGACCTGATTGGATTGGACCAAATCCAGTCCAATTGACACCCCTAACTGTACTGTGATGCCATTGAAAGACCATTTATGTGATGGATTAGACATCTTTCATTAGTAGATGGGAGCTTAATTATATGTTGTTTTCTTTTTGCAAGAACTTAAAAGTTTTCCTTTATTATAAAAAAATATATGTACAGAGATTCGCAAAATGTATGGAAAGACGAATAATTAGGTAGATAGATTCATGGATAAATATTATATTATCAGCATTCAGCCTTCATTATCCTTAATTATATAATAAAAGGATCCAATCTGATAATTATAATTATATAATAAAAGGATCAAATCTTTCATTAGTAAATGAGGGAATATGAAAGATGTCTAAAAAGAAAACAGCATATAATTATGTTGAGTGTTACATATCTAACTCTCGGTAAAAGCAGTTTTCCATTCTCCCAGCTCCTCTTTATCAAGAAATCTAGATGAACCATAACCCGATCAGCAACCAACTTGCTTAGAGCAGCTACTATCCTGTCCATGTTGTAGTATTTGGCTTAAAACGATTTTGGACTCCTTCTAACTGATTTGATTATGAACTGCTTCTACTGAGAGTTAGATAGCAGGATTTCACTGATATCCACCTCTCTATCCAGTAAAGGCCTCCTGAATTTTGGACTTTAAATCAACTGATATCCTCTCCTTTCATAGCAGCTACTGATGGTAATTTCAGTCTCAGCCAGCTTATACAGTCTTGGGCACAACTCCTTCAACTTGCCAACCCCACTCCAATCATCCTCTCAAAACCTGATTCTAAAGGATTTTTATCATTTTATCTTTTTTTTAATACTTGGAGCTGAATTTAATTTGGTGGGTAATCTGAAATGGGAATTTAAATTTTTTTATCCATGTTATATAGTGAACTTTTCAAGTCCAATCCATGTACTTCTCTTTGAGTGCAAAAAAAAAAAACACCAATCCAGCCCTCCAACACAAACACATCCAAAGAAAAGAAAATAATATTTAACTATTTTGTCAAGGGCAATGATCAGGCTGACAGTGAAACTCAAGTTGTTAACTACTTGTGAATCTATGCTTTAAACGTGTATTATTTTGCAGTGAATATTGCCAGGAAAATCAAGTAGTGTATTGTCCATATCTTGCACAAGTCCCAAGGATTACTAAATAAGATTACTCAAGCAAACAGAAAATATCATGAATCTAATGTGCAAGATCAAATAATCAATGTAATAAATAGATCATTCAATAAAAATTATAAAGCAGCTAAGCAGCATATAAAATATCAACTAAATGCAGTTTCGATTCCTTGAAGCATCAGATGAAGAAATAAGAAAAGCTTATTGTCAATGGGCTCAAATAGCATACAATCACCCCAGGGCTGGGAGGACACTACAACTGAGATGAGCAGATTGAAAGAGAGAGATGAGCAGATTGTGTGGACGATGAGAGCTTGAAGCGAACGATGGAGAGAGTTGAAGCAGAGGAACTGCAATCAAGGCAACCATCGTTCAAGCTCTCATCCTCTGCTTTGCATTGCTTGTTCAAAGACCAGGGCAAAATGGAACTTGAAGCAGAGGAAAGGTAACCAGGGCAAAACGGCCATATCTTTGCCATGGCCGTTGGAATGCCCTGGTTGAAGCAGGAAACGGATAGAAGGCAAATCAGTTGAAACGGAACTTGAAGCAGAGCTTGACCGTTGGAATGCCTTAACATCGTTCAAAGATGCCAAAAGAGTGGCCGAAGATATGACGGTTGACCGTTGGAATGCCTAGAGGTAGATGGAAGAAGACAAAGGAACTTCCTCTCTGACAAGGCCCGATATTTTTTCCCAAATGTGTCTTCGATTTTCTCTTTCTTAGTGGGATCGCATGGATTTGGTGTGACCCCGAGTTCTTACTTTTGGGATCCCGCATCCTTCCCTTTTCTCATCCCATCCCCCTATTTCCCCCCAAAACAAATAAAGGAAAAAAAAATTATATTCTTAGAATATTCCTTTTTTTTCATCCCTATCCCAACAAACCAAACGGAGCCTTAGGTAGCTCAAACCCTGCTTAGCCTGACTCGAGCCTAGCCCAATTATATACACACACATATGTGTGTAACCTTGCATACATATTTACATAAATGCATGTAATTTTAGAGTGAGTTCATTAACCAACCCAAGCCTGGCCCGAGCCCAAGCTTGAAACCAACCTGACTGCATCAAATTAAAGTGTGAGCTGAAGTCGAGTTGGAAAGATCAGGCTTGACCTCGGGCTTGATCTGGGGTCGGGCCTGGGTTGGCCATAAACCCAGCCCAATCCAGATGTCCACAAGGCCACAAGTAATAAGTTACTAACAAGAAAGCATCTATGTTTCCTTTATATCCTTGAAATTGGCCACGCCTTTGAATAAAATGGTATCAGATGAACAGTTAAACACCACGGTATACAGTACTTAAAATCACAATTATACATGATAATTGACAAACTAAACAAGATACTCCCCACCTCGCCTAAATAATTAGTCTAAGATCATATTAATTAGTTACATGCCTGTCATCTAACTCCGGACATAGCTTGCCGAAGCAAGCTCTAAATTTAGAAAAGATATGTGAACCACCACCAGCAAAACCATTTGTCATCTGGTCAGTTGAAAGTAGTACCGGCATGAAACTTCATGTGGAAGATACCTCGGCCAAAAAACACGCTTTCATGCACCGTCTAGTCAAGTGAGCCCCCTCTTATGGAGAATTGGATTTGGAGACCATTGTCTTTGTTAACAGTACAGTGACCCTGCACCCATTAAGAAGAGATATTTGCACGTTAGAACACTAATAACCATGGTTGGCTACTTGTGAGGTTCTAAATGTAATAGGTAAAGAAATTGGGGAAAAAAAGAGAAACATCTGCATTACATACCAGACCTGTTTGCAGCTTTATGTTACAAAGCTTCAAAAAAATCACTCCTCCAGAAAAGCACGCCCAAGATTTGTAGCCAGGGCTAGTCTCACAGAGTTAAGGGCATGAGGTGGCAAGTCAGCTTCAATAAAGTCTGGGTGTAACTTTGCCATGGACAACTCTTGTAGTTTGTTCAATAAAAGGTTTGTCTGTGAGATGTTCAAAAGAGGATGTTCTGACCAATTAAGCAACTTCACCTGCAAAGGGACATGAATGATTAAGAAAATATGTATGAATAACCAATCCCTAGGTTCAGAAGTAGAGACAACCAACTCAACTACATCAGCAAGATTAGCCAAGTGAAAAGATGGGTCGTTCATTGATGTCAAATGATATCAATGATAAAATTAATTTGAAAGTTGGAATAAAAACCGAGTGATTAGGAAACCGCACAGGACCAGCCAGTCAGACTGGTTGAACCATGACCGGGCCCAGCTGGTTTGGTCATACCTTAGGAACCGGAATTCCTAAAAAACTGGCCCATGATTCCTAAAAAACCAGCTTACAAGCCTGTTTAACAAGAGAATCGGTGAACTGGTCCTGGTTTCATTTAACCACCCGGGTCACTAAACAATCGGAATTCCAAAATGTTTGGCAAGACTTGAACTCATGACCTCTTTTTTGCGTTTTACTCAATTACAATTAATCCATTTCTTTATTTGTGTTAATTTATGACTTTATTGTATATATTACTTCATTACACATGTATTTTAAAAAAACACAAGTTAAGAGGTGTGAAACTGGTCATTTGCTTTTAAACATAAAAAGCTGGCAATCCATCCACCGCATTCAAGTATGATATAATTTGTAAAATAAATTATATAATATTTATACTACTCATAGTATATATGCATATATGCCACATCATCACAGTTTGATCCTGGTTGAACCTCTGACCAATGAACCTCTCTTTTCTGCTTCTATGCCTGGTCCAGTTCTCTGAACGTTGTAAAAAAACACAAAAAAAGTATAAATGAAAAGTGAATAAGGAAAACCACTTTATTAACTCAGCACTCACCGAATCATGCAGAAGAGGCAACCAGAAACGTTGTGGTGTGGATGGGTTCTTCATAAGCTGCATGCAATAACAAGAATTTCATTGTCAATCACATATCTGCTGATGAATTGCAAATGCACACCAAGACAAAAACGTGGAGAACATAACACAATAGATATCCTCTTTGCAGCATGGTAAGTTTGTACTATCCTAATAATACATTTGCAATATGGGATGCTTAGCAAGCTCCCATCAGCAACATCATGCTCAGAGAAAGGTCGAGTAAGGAACAGAAAATGTATCCTAATAAAGAGAGCCAAAGTACTTTAAGGTGCATTTATAATTCTGAGGCAGGGATAATGTGCATTATATAACACAGGTGATGAAGGCAACCAGAACTTTTCTTTGAAACCCTTCAATTTACAAATTCCCCTCAGATAACCCCAAAAAATTTGTTCTCTTGTTGCTCCTTGTTTTTGCTATATCATTCTGCTAGTCAGTTAGCAGACCTGTACACCCAAAATGCCTTGGCACCCAACTCTTGCATTAGGGATTTAACATTTTATTGATTAGAGGAAGAAATTCTCTACAGGTATACATGAGCTGATGCACATTTGTACACCAAAATTTAGGTCAGCTATTCCTACCCACTCTTTTCTACATTCTCGTTCTTGCTATTACAAGTTCTCATGTGGAATCAAGCCCCAGTACAACTGACTTCTCCCTGTTCCTTGCCTTATTTTGGTAATAAATAAAAAAATAAAATTTATGAAGAAAGGAGAATATAAGGAGGTATAAGACATCACTTTAGGAATCCAGTTAATGTTTACACCCAACTCCCTTGCCTTGCCTACTGTTTTATTTCCATAACTGTATGTCTATGCACCAGGGTGTCAAGTAGTTATGTGGCAGGCTAGCAGACATCTTACTACCACCTAGAATTCCCCCTCCCCCATCAGATTCCCTGATGTTTAGAATTTTTTTTTTTTTTGAGAACTGTAAGTAAAGTGATTTCATAAAAAAATCAACTACAGAAACCCCTGTACAAAGAAAAATGGACAAAGGATATACAAAAACCTAACATAGCCCATTATAGCCTCAATCCCCCAAACAAAAAACAAAAACTATCCACTCCTTGCAAACAAAAAATTTCACTCAAAACAGACACTTGGATGTCTGCCTTTAAAGAACTGGTGCACAGTTAGCCACGAGTGGATCATCCACAGAAATTTCCTCGGAACATCTTTTGAGTTTTGAATTCCTTCAAATAATCTGTTATTTCTTTCACTCAACACAACCAACAGAACAGCTGTCGGAATAATGCTCCAATGCCACCTTTCCAGCTTTACTCAAACCACCCAGCCACCAAGCCTCTATGAATCCCCTAACATCAGCTGGGAAACATAGCTTAGCACCAAATAATTCCACCACTCTTAACCACACCCAGTGAGTAAAATCAGTGTAACACTAGATGACTAGAGGATTCCACATTCCCAATACATAGGGACATGCCATATCTACCACTTCTAAACTTCTTTTGATTAAATTCTCTTTGGTTAGGAACTTATCCAGCACTGCTGACCAGACAAAAAAGGATATATTTGAAGGCACAGCTCTAATCCATATTCTTTGACATGGGAAAGAGATGTCTTCCTCCTTTGAAACAACTTTAAAAAACATGTTTACAGGGAGGGAGGCCATTTAGCCGGAATAGGGAAAAAGGATAAGCAGAAAACAGGGAGGGAGGCCAGCACACTTTTAATTAAGGTTACTTTGCCACCCTTGGATAAATATTTTGTCTTCCAATAGGCTAATTTTCTGTCTACCTTCTCCAAGATAGGTTCCCATACAGTTTTGAATTTACAACTTTCTCCCAAAGGCATGCCCAAGTATCTAAATGAAAGCTTGCTGACTTTACATCCCCAATCATCTGCCCATTCCTCCATATTTAGAATTTTAGCAAGCTTCATCCCTTGCTAGACTTCCAACAGCTCTGCCCTTAAGAAGTCCTTATAGCCAATAGGACCAGAAAAAAGTGCAATAACATCCATCACTGTTTCTGAAAACACCTCTTACCTTGGAGTTGCCTGGGTTTCCAAAAGTGCAATGCAAAAACCATTGTTCCATATTTTCATTAGTTTTCTTGAGGTCCAATTTGCACATTATGCCCTTTCTTCCCTTCTCTCTACCCCTATGACATTTCATTTGCAATCAACTTGGCCAGTTCTTTCTCATTTTTTGCATAGTCTTTGTTTTCCTTCATGCAGAAGTGAGCAATGCCATGATGCCATTACAATGGCCAAAGGATTAGTAGGTGATTACCAATATGTATTTGTCAAATAGCTATGCTGTAGCTAGACAATGCACACAATCATAATTTTTTTCCCTTTTTTTCAGACATCTTTTCTTTCTTTCATTTGTCTCAAGGACAACCACAAACTTTTAGACACAACAAGGTCATTACTTTTCAGGAAAAAAAATAAAAAAGAAAAGGTTCACATAGGCACCATTTTATTTACCATGCAGACAGTAGAGAAGGTAGATAAAGGATTTTTCTGCATATACCAGTATAAGAGATTCCACAGCCTGTCGAGCAGCATCAGTAATGTGACCATCCTGAACCTGTTGAAGGGATTTTTTGAAGTCCCTATACCTGTGTCACATTCAAATAAAAATTAACCAAAGAAGTTGAAGGCCAACAAAAAGAAATATTATTAATCATTTCTTTGAGTTCCTATAGATAGAACTAAAGCAGATGGAGGAAGATGATAGGATAGTTACTTGTGAAGAAACTCAAGACCACCTACAGTCCTGGCTTCAGAACCCAACAGTTCAATTAATCCTTCCCATTGCTGCTTATAGCAACGAAGCAATAAAACAGAATGAGTTTTCATAGATTAAATCCCCAGGCCAACCGAAGGCCATATGATCTTTTTTTGCTTAAAGATTAGTACACCTGGTTTATCATAAACTTGTAAAAAGATGAGATATTATAATAAATTGATTTAATACCTTGAAACTTTCATCAGATATCGACTTCCCAACAAAATCAAACAACTGTTGAGCAATTCTATTAAGCCGGACTTCATCCTGAGCTTGCTGTAGCCAGAAAATTCCAGACCCTTTCTTACCATGCTTCCAGTGGTGTATTCCAGCAATCTGATTAGTGAAACATATACTAAAGTAAGAAAAGCAAGGCTAAATTATAATGCACAGAAGATCATCTACAGTACCCATTAGAAGTCATCTGTTAGAAGTTGAAGGGGATAGAAGAGCGACAGACCAAAAAGAACTTGGGTGGAAGTAGTAAGGAATGATTTAGGTGCTCATAATTTAACAATGGATATGGCACTGAACAGACAGAGTGGAGAAACAGGATACATGTAGCCAGCCCTATATAATTAGGAGAAGGCTTACAAGATGATGATGATGAACAAAAGTTCTTCCAAGCCTCACTCTTAACTTTCAAAAGGCATTTCTATAATCACCCAGATCCAGTCTGCTTTATCAAAGCAAAGATCAAAAGCTGTGCAACCTAATATATACTACAAAAGTGGCATGTGAAGCATGTTTTCCATGTCCCCTTTCCAACATCCAAATAACAAGAAATAGTAGGCCAAGGCTCAAAATACCTTCATAATATTTGAACTGATACTGTCAAGTTCATATAGACGGCAAATCTCCAAACTCTGGAATACAAAATACTTTCGCTCAGAAAGTAATGTTAAGAGCAGCTTAAGATGCTACCAAACTCAGAAAACTATTGAAGGATACTGTGCATAAATAAATAAAAACAAAACATGAAATTCACCTAATCACCTTAAGTAACAGATGATTATGTTGTATAGGTTGCTTGTACAATAAAATTTCCAACAAACCCATTCCCTGCTTTGTGCATGATGTCAAATAAATTGGAGCAATCTGAACATATGAGAGCATTTAATGAGTTAATAAAATCAAACAACAAAAGCACCACCTATAAGAATGATAAAACAATAAGACCATTTTGGTGCTAAACTTTGATACGACTTATTGAGCAACATTTTGATTGAAAGTAAAGGAGACACCGACTGCAATTTCTTGAATTGGTAACAATCAGGAATTATATTAATTTGTGATAAAAGAATTAGATAGAAAAAAACTAAAGTTTTGCCAAGCAACCCTTCTAATGGGTTAGCACCTACCACATAACCCACTCGTGAGCAAGCCTCAAAAGACCTTGACATGTGAACAAAAGAAACTCCCTTTTTATGGACAACTTTCCTATTAAAAATTTAGAGGTATTGAAGGCTAGTATTGGTTGGGGAAAAATCCAATGCAAGGTTGAGTATAGGATTTATATGGATTATAGGATTCAACAAGTGGCCAATCCAATGGGTCCTCCACCCAATGGAATGGATGATCTGGATTGGCCACAATTTTCCTCCATGTGGCAGTAGGTGGGTTACATAAGGAATGATGCAGGAGATGAAGAACCAAAATTCGAACTTTATGAAATTTTATGTATTTTTGTATTTTTTGACAGTAGGGGTATTTTTGTCATTTTGCAATTTTCCGTGGGGTCCATTGATAGGGTATAATTTGTCTAGTTATAGTTTGTTTATGTTTAAAATTTCGGTCATTGCATAAGTAGGATTAGAATTATCGAGTCTTCTTTGAATTGTTTAACAGTTTTGACTCCTAGGACCATTATGAGCTTAACAGTTGGACTCCTACGACCATTATGAGTTTAGAGACTATAAATATGTATGGACGTTTTACACACAGAGCAATGAAATATATTGAGCTTTCTTCTTCTTATGCTAGCTATGGTGAGTGTGATTCCCATGCCGGGCCGGGCTTTGCACTTATGATAAGGGCTATAGCTTAGGCCCGGGCCTGGCCCGGCCTGGGGTTCCAGGCCTGAAACATAAGCCCTAGCCCAGGTCTATACGGGCCTGGGCCGGGCCTGATTTTGGGCCAATGTCTTTCATATATAAAACATTACATATTTATAATAACATGCATACAAACTTATTTTATACATTATATAATATAAAATATTACATATAATATAAATTATACATGTCATGTTATAATATTTATCATAGTTGTCAAAGCAACACCTAGGCGACAAGGCACCCTTGGAGGCTCACTTCGCCCAGTTGCCAAGTAGTTTTGTGCACTAGATTATAAAATACTGTTATATTTTTAACTTTTTGATATTATAATTATAAAATAGACATTATTAAACTAGAATATTCATTTTATGTGTTTATATACTAATTTCTTTTTAATATTTTCTTATTTTGTTAGGGTTTAATCAACGCAAACATTGCTAACTGCTGTATTGAACCCATGGTTCAAAGTCTCTATGTATTGGCAAAGGTGTATCGGTACTTATAATGATACTCCCCCTATTTTTTTTATTTCTTTGGTTTTCAATTTCATTTATATATATATAATATTTAAAAAAATGGGTCCCCGAAAACACCTGTAAATAGGTGTCGGAACCCCAAAGATACAATACAATACACCTGATACAGGGCGTATCGTATTGAAATTTTGATCCTTGATTGAACCCTCAAAATTTTCAAAACACAAACCAATAAGCAAGGGAAGAACTTAAAATTTTGTCTAATCAACACATTTTCTTCTTCTTCCTCCAGTTTTTCTTTTCTTCTTTCCTATAACAAAAGTAGGGGTTCAGCCCCTATATTTTTTGAATTTTATTTACTTTGTTCTTTTTTTTCTCATAAAATGTTGATTTTCTAGACTTAAACATGAAGTTTATACTTTTCTTATGAAAATTATGAATAATTATTAAGGAAAGATGGTTATGGAACCTAGGGAACTACCCTAGGATATATAGTTTTACTTTAAAAAAATCCATCGCCTAGGCGACTAGGCAACAAGGCACCCCCCCTGTCGCCTAGCCTCACCTTGGCGCCTTGAAAACTATGATATTTATATATAAAATATATAATCTAATGTAAAATAACATGTATACATATGTATACATTATACACAAAATGTGTAAGTTTAAATATATGTGGGCCCGGGCCAGGCCTGAACACAAAACCCAGGCCCAAGCCCGGAATTTCCGGGCTGAAATGATCACCCCTACTGCTTGGTACTTGATTGTAAAACTTCTTAATACATACTTCACTAAACTATATGCCTAGGAAGTTCCCAGAACAGCAATTCTATGGCTCATAGGTTCTCACAATATAAGCCTCCCAAGTCATATGCATTGAAGGGGCTACCACACCAGATGAGATCACTATTCACAATCCACCATTAAAGAAATGGAATGATCCAGAAGTCCTCATTCACATTTTTACAACTCACTTGCCAGGTTAGAGCATGAGAAGATAGAATTTGAGCATATACAAGCCGATGAAGCTCCTCTATGCTGATACCTCCCAGATTATAACGCTCTTCATGTAACAGAATTTCTGCTTGCTTGCTCCCTGCTGTCAATAGTTCTACAGCATGTGCAACCATCCTGTCAAAACAAAATTTCCATCTGATATATAAACTAAATAGACCATACATGAAAAACAAATTTTCATAATTTAATACAAGCACTAATGAATTTATGCTTATGGTCTATAACATCCATGCTGTCATCAGTTGAAACTTAATAATAAAGAAGTACAAAAGAAATCAAAAGCTCACCAAGGACCAAATGACCTTGAACATTCAGCCAAAACAACCTGAACCATACAGATAAAATGGAGAGATAGTTAGATGAAAGGCAAATGAAGATACTTTTTTTTGGATAAGAAGATAAATATCTAATTAAGGAGAAGAAAATCCATTCTCACCTCAGTATTTTCTCCTAGAATTCCAAGGAGAAGCCCCATCAACCTATGGGTGCTGGATGTTGGTTTTAATTGCATGCATTTCTGAGCTAAACTGTACATGCTTTCTAGACCCTGATACAGAAAAATGGAACAAGAAGTCAAATACCCACCTTGATTGCAATGAAACCAAGATAAAGGATTTACATATAATTTTCAACAAGAGAAACAATATGCATGCTGAATTTGAGTACGAAAGACTTCAAGGAATAGATGAAATTCTCAACAGACACTGACCATTGTGAATGGCCTGACATAAAGGAAGTGAGATATATACAACTCTATCCAATGGCTTGTCACAGTATTGAGAGAGTTGGTGTTTCCCAACATAATTTGTAGAACATTCTTTAATCCTTCTCTTGTCTGGCGGTGATCACACTGAACCCAGAATGCACTGCATTCCAGCTTTGTAATTTGCCCTCGCCATTTTTCCCATGCCTAAGAAACAGATAGATGCAAATATAGTGAACCAGCTCAGAGATGCATACTATGTGTGTCTATAGAGAGAGAGAGAGAGAATCCGAAAATACCTTGACAAAATCAGGCTTTGTTTTATAGCATTCACCTAACCTTCCAACTGCTAGTTCAGTACGAATACGTGGCATTTTGGAGATTAGAACAGCAACTGCCTCCACCAGACCATTCTCTGTCTGTAATAGTAAAAGTGCATTAACATGGCACACAAACCTATTTATTTTTTCTCCTTTTCTTAATAGGTGATGTAATGGTCTTTTTGTTGAATTTTTCTTTTCTTTGTTTTTCATTGAAAGGTAAAGTGTTGTATTTCATTTAATTATCCACCAAAAAATTACACCAGCCCATGTGCATTGAGGGACTGTACATTGGAAATATATACCAAAAGAGAAAAATGTGTACTTTAGGCAAACAAAGGTCTATCATCCAAAAAATTAACTTATCTGGACACCCTGGAAAGGCTTCTGTACACTTAGCCAAGAACATAAAATTCCTTTTTACCACCACCATATCAGAATACTTGCTCTCAAAAATGCACTGATCTCTTTCCATCCAAACAAACCATATGATAGCAGTTGGTTAAATTTTTTTCTTATCAGCAAGCAGCTGGTTAAATATTCCAAAAAGGTTTCCCTCTGATGTTTAATCCCTGGAACATCCAACCTTGGAGAAGCTTGCAATAGAGTTTTACAGAGAAACATCTGAGATCCAAAGCATGCTAGGACCATATACCACAATTGATGGGGGAAGTTGCAGTATATGAAAAGACGGTTCAAGGATTTTGGTACTTCATTCAATAAATAGCAGGTATCGCTGTTCAAAGCCATTCCTCTTCTGATCAAGAGATCAGCAGTTAGGCATCTTTCAAGAGTATCAGTTCAGAGTATGAAAGCTACTTTTGATGGAAAGGAGTCCCAGATTCTAGACCAAAGTAAGGAGTTTTCCTGCTAATGGATCAGCCTTTATAGAAGGCCTGAACTGAAAGGTTGCTTGATTTGTCCCATGACCACCTCTATAATCAACCTCCAAGATGTCAACTTTTGTGTCTTGGATTAACCTTAACAGTTTAGTCATTTAATGGGCCATGTTTGGTTCAATTCTCATTCTTTTTCATTCTTACCCAAGATGAAATTCTAAAATGGGCAAGAATGGTTAAAAATAGGCAGAATGAGAAAATATTGCTATGAACCAAACACTTTTTTCCTAAGAATGAATTCTTTTCAGACTGATAAGTGTCCTATGTTTATTTTCATTCTTAAAAAAAATTGTGTCAGTATTCATAAACCGCCAACCTAGGTCTCCAACAGTCAATGTTTACCAGTTGGCATAGATGTATTGTAAAAGTACTTTCTTAAAAGTATTTTTGTAAAAAGTGCTTTTATAAAAGTACTTTCATAAAAGTGCTTTCGTAAAAAGTGCTTTTATGAAAGTACTTCAATAAAAGTGCTTTAATGTAAAAGTATTTTTATAAAAGTGCTTTCGTTAAAAGTACTTTTATAGAAGTGCTTTCGTAAAAGTGCTTTCATGTTCATGTAAAAGTACTTTTATAAAAGTTCTTTCGTAAAAGTATTTTTGTAAAAGTGCTTTCGTAAAAGTAAACAGCTATGGCAACAATTTTGTAGGCAGAGTTTCCTCAAAGAATGAAATCAGCAAGATGGAGCATGATTATTTTTCATGCTGCAGGCTACCCAATATTTGTGCTATGGGGCTGGTTTTTCATTCTAAAAAGAATGTGGCCCATGGCAAGAATTTTGTAAGCAAACACTCTTAATGTTATTCATTCTTGCCCATTCTTTCCCAAAATAAGCAAGAATTAAAAGAATGAGGCCCAGAGCAGTGAACCAAACATGGCCTTGATTTCCCAGTCATTCAAATTTCTTCTGAAAACAGGGTTTCAAATTACCTCACCATTACTTAATTTGAACGAGGCACATTTGGATTTATACACAGTTACATTATTTGCATAAAACACGAATTGTAATAACCAGAGAGAAAAGAGTAATCTGTACAGCTCAAAATTTGTGTAGGCTTTTATGATGACTGAAAAAAATATGAAGTAGCCTCATTAGAAAGTGGATGTGTTCAATTAGAGAAGAAAGCAACGTGTGATGAAAAGGATTTTGGAAAAGATAAGAATTAGGTGGAGAGGGAGGAAAGCTTTGATTTGGGAAATTATGCTGAAGTTGTAGTAGAAAATTGGGTAGAGATTTGGGGGAAGGAAGAGATTTGAAGCAAATAAGGAAGGAATGGTTAATGATGATAGAATCAAAAGCAGAATTTTGCTGAACCCAAAAAGATCAAAAGGACAGTCAGTTCATGTAAATAAAGTTTTTTCTCATTTGAAAGAAGGGCTTGTTGGGGCAGGGCCTTGTAATAAATTAAAGAGAATCCACAAGAGAAAGAGGATGAAAGTTAAAGCTAGACATGCCAAAGGAATGTTGGAAGATCCATTACCAAAGAAAGGTCAAGAACTTTTGTAGATGGGGGACACTACTCAGTTTGGTGTGCAGTTAGAGGAATCAGATTCAGAAATTCCAAGGAGAGACTCAGATCAAAAAGATGGTCCGGAGGGGCATGAAAGTTAAAATGATCAAGTGAGATCACCTTCCTTGCACATTCCTCAGATCCTGCTCATCAACAACTTTAGGCCTTGAATCAAAGCTAACAGTTCTGCCCTCAGGAATTTTTCATTACCAACCAGCCCTGAATAGCTTGGGATGGGTTTACTAGTTGGTTCGTCTCACGAACTTACTTAAACAGCCTAGAAATCTTCCCCATGGCAACTTAGCTTGGAGCTCAAAAGGAGTCTCCATTCCTTGCTCCACAATACACTCGTGGAAAAAACCTCTTCACCAATGCTTGTAACTTTTGTATTGTTTGAGTAGACTTTTACTTTATTAGACCTTCCTATGTGTTCAAAATAGACCATCTTTATGGATAACTTTGATATAGACTCACAATCATGAATGGCCTATTTGATTGGGCAAAACTCCAGTACAAGATTGGGCATGTGGTTGATATGAGCTGTGAGACTGAACACATGGTCAATCCACTGGACCCTCCATCTCATGGACAGTCTGGATTGACCTCAGGATCTTTCCATGTGGCAGAAATAGGTGGGACCATGTAGGGAAGCTCCACACTGGACCTGATTAGCAAACTACTACTAATACTCAACTGTACGTTTCATGATGTGTGTACACCAAATACAATCTCCTTTATATCATGCAATATTCCTCAGACAAAAACCTTTTTTGGGTAAAATAAAATATAATTAAAGAGAACTGAAGTAAAAAAGTGCAAGTCTCTATAGATATAATACAAACCTCACGATTTCCTAGCTGATCAAGCTGATAAGATCCATGCAATCTCAACAATTTGACCTGCGGGAGAGGGATAGAGAAATAACTAAATTATCTTTCTTTCTTGCCATGCCTGTCCAACATAAAAATAGAAGAAATTGCATGTTCCACAAACATCTTTTTCGTTTTAATTTTCAACCATAAAAATTACAAATAACTATTTGAGAGAAAGAGAATCACCGCCCTGAGAGTGCAAAAGATTAAAAAGATAATTCTTACCACAATCTCAAGCCAGCCAACTGCAAGTGCTGATGATATCCCTTCCCAATATTTTGGATTATCTTCAACAGCCTGCATGGTAAAATCTTGGCAAAATCACTTTCCTTTCCCTTTCCGTTTCTTTTTGTTAAATGCGAAGTAATAGGGATGTAACAAACAAAGATAATAGAAGAGGGCAACAGAATTTAGTTAACCTAGGGTAAAGTGGTGAACTTTGATCATAAAACAAGATGAGCACCAGAGATTTACAAAAGCATTTGCATAAAATGGCCAACAATCAACATAAAAGCATCGCTGAGTTTTTAATATAGAACATACATCACATATTAAAGAACAGCAATTAAAGAAGAAGATTATAAAACCACAAAGTTGACAATGGCCCCTGATAAATTATTAGCTCTAGATGCCCTTATATAACTATTGTCAGCTATAAATCTTGGTGCAAAACCTGCACTATATCCAGATAAAGCATAATGGTCAATGCACCCAAATCAATTGTTGTATTTCACAACCAAATGTGACAAACAAAACAAGCAAAATTACTAGGAACATCAGAAAGTGGTGAAACCTGTAAGGTCACAAGTTCTTTTTGCAGATCAACAAGTTTTGAATAGACAGTTGTCCCTGTTTCTGATAGAAGGTTATCATAATCCTGCAGAAAGAAATGATCAGCAGCTTAGCAGATCCCAACCCACCACTCCTGGAGGATTTGTTCAGAGCAATACAAATACATGTGACTAATATTATTTTCGAGTATGTAGAGTAGAGGAAAGGAAAAGGAATCAGAAGAAAGAGCATTACTGCTAACCAATCAACAAGGCTCTCTGGGAGCCAAGCCTGTGACTGCTTGTCCGCATAAAATATTTCCATCAGTTCCCAGGCAGCCTTCAAACAGGTGGGCTTCTCCATTGCCTGCACTTTTAAAAATCACTAGGTTTAGCATGATATTTATATTAAACTTGAGGGAAAAAGATCCAAGTACATGCAAGTATCTACTAACTAAACTTCAAGACTTTCATCCTTTAAAAGGTGGTGAATCACCTTCAAAACTGTCTTTGGGTCTTCAATGACTGGACTAGGAAGTGGTTTTGGACTCCCAAGAAGAAGATTTATATCTTTACTGTACTCCATAACATGTTCCCACCTGATAGCCATGACAAATGTGACCATATGCATAAAATGTAGTAGAATTCTAAAACACTAAAGCTAAACATAACTAATTGTAGAAGAATTCAAATAGCTTCAACCTGCTCATTAGCACAGATATATGCACATTGTCAAAGAATGTGTAGAAACCAATTTCAATATTTTTAATAACAGAATGCGCACCATCAAAGAGGAAACCCATCATCCTTTCAAGTATCTAAAAGAAAGGTTGAACATACTATTTTTATTTTTGGCAAACAAAGTGAGTGAATTAGGGTAAGGATCAATCATGCAATTGGTTCAACCTGTAATAATCAAATCTAAAGGGCATTACTCTATAAGCTCAATAAGTTAGAGTGCTATATTATTGACATAGAGGTTGTAGCTTTATAGGTATACATAGGTTAAGCTGTTAAAATTCTAATAAGACAGCCACAAATATTACATGCAGGACCTGCTCCATCAAGAACCCCTCCCCAGTCCACATACCATAATTCCTGTTTATTTATCCCTTCTTAGGCAAGTAAATCAGCCAATGGGTTGGTTGATATGGGAATCCAACAGATTTATGCTTGTAACTTACACACAAGCATCTTGTCCTCCTTATTTTCTGCCTAAGGCTCCAAGGATCAACCATATCTCCCCCTTCAGCTAGCTTACAATAGTTTTAGAGTCCCCATCTTTTTTTTTTTTATTTGAGAGAGAGAGGGAAGGCAAAGTATAGAATTTCGTTCAAAAAGGAAAACCCTTGTACAGCAAGTGGTTGTGCAAAGGGAAGTTACAAAAAAACATCTCCCCCCAATTTCTATAACAGCAAATACATACCCCTGTCCGTTTACAAAAAGAGAATCATAATTAAAAACAATGAACTGAAACTGCTTCTTTTGTAATATTTATGCATGGATAAGTATGAGTGTATTTTTTCAACAATTTTCTGAGTGGTTTCGAAACTATCAATCCCTGGAATAGTGCTTTAGGTAACTTCAGTCTTTGTAGAACTGCTCATGATTATGCTGTTATGAAATTAGCAATTCCTACAAGTCCTGAAAATGTAATAAAAATCTTATGAGTGGTTTTGAAACACATCACCAAACCTTGAAGATGTTGGGTTCCCAATACTGCACCCATCAAAGTTCATCTTAATTTTTCCTTATAGGAGGGGGCACCAAGGCAAAGAAGGACGGTTTCTTGTCCTAGCTGATGCTGCCAGCCTGCCACCGTCGAACACCTTCTCATAATGTCCTCCATTGTGAAATGTGAGAATTCCTCAAGTTTTTCTCAATGAATAATTCCAATCTGAATTAAATTTATTAAATCTTTTGTAGCCTGAAATTTATCTTGAAAGTTGGAATGTCCTTGCAGTACACTCTTCCCAAATGGACCAGACAATAGCAGCTTTTGTGCATTTCCAAGTTCCAAAGAATCTCATCGCTCTTCTTTGGTAAAACATGGATACATCTTTGGGGTGTCCATCTAGCATCAAATAAAGAAAGAAAACACTCCAAAATACTTTGAGACAATTGACAGGAGATTATCAAGTAGAATGTGATTTCATTGCTTGCCTTATGGAGGATAACATTTTAGGTGTCAAAATCCAATTTCACCTTCTTTTCTGCAGGACTTCTCAAGTAATGGTTTTTTAGTGATACACTTTCCAGCAATAAGCCCTTATCTTTAAAGGTGTAAATACTAATTTTCTGTTTTTTGGGTCCAAACCATATTTCCTTGGTTGGAAAGGTTTGAAAGAATTGATTCACAAGTAAGATGACATTAAAGAATGAAGGACAAGAGAATTTGCCCATGCCATCAACTGCCCACACTCTGCAATCATTTAGATTAAGGTCCATATATGCTTCTTCTAGCAAGTGGGTGAGTAGTAAGAATTCTTGAATCTCAAAATCCCTAAGACCCCTACAGAGGACAAAGGACCCATGATGGAGGTGTGGCATTAAAGTTTACTATAGAGGCTATGGATTGGGGTTCTTAGCATTTGATAAGGAGTACATTCTTAGAAATCTATATTTCAACAATGAGCCTCTCAACTACAAATTTTTCCAGAATTTTATTTGGTCCACCTTTTCCAACATCATATCTAATATGGAAGACGAAGAGGTCATTAGGGTCAACACCATGGATGATTCTAATAACCAAGTGTCAAAGTTTAGGAGTTTCAGCAGAGAATCTCTAATAACCATTTACCTAAAGAGCCTTACTCTTCAGATCCAATCTACCTAGCCCCAATCCACCTCATGATTCTCTCCTTGTTAATTTTCATGGGTGCTTTAAAAACTGAATAAATGTAGATTGGAAGACTAGAGAAAGTGGATTTTCATTGAAGTTATTTTTCATCTCAAGTTCTAAAGATATATAACGTTTCTTCCAAGATGCTAACATTTTGGTGAATCTTTCAATGACAAGACCTAAAAAGGATAATGATCTTGGATTTCCACCAAGTGGGAGATGAAAGTAGTTCCGACTTTAGAGGCCAAGGTGAAATATAGCTCCCTAGAATTTTTGCATACCTGTGAGCCTAAGCACACCTTTTAAAACATTGATCTAGGGTCAACCAAAAAAAGGTGTTTGAATTATTGGGACATTGTTACAATAAGTTATATAGGCTTATATGGAGACCTCTTATTCTAAAGAATAAATTTCCACCTTGGTAACAGGGATATTCTTAGTCAAAGTTGTCTTACTACTAACAACCAAAACAAAAAGTTGTTCTACTATTAGCACATGCTGTCTAAGGAGTACTACATTGTTAACCCCCATGAAACGAAAGTGCTCTGAGAAGGCATAGATTGTCAAAGAATAAGTAAAAAATTCTCCAGACAACTCAAAATTGTACATGTTTTTCATATTTTCCAATGAAATTATATTTTCCTTCAGGGTTGGAATTTGAACAATAAGTTCTGTTTCTTGCGTATACCAATATTTATAGCCAGCAAAGCATTGTAGTGATCATGAAGAGACTAAGGTATCAAAAACAGATAAGAAGTTGATTGATATCTATGGTAACTTTCCTCCCGCTCCCCATACAGAGGGAGAAGTATTAAATGCAATACGTTATAGGCAATCTACTTAAGTAAAGCAAGTTCCTTCCTTAAATGCAATACCACGAATATCAAAATTTGCAGATAATTCCAAATAGAAATAAAAGTATTGAAATATTAGATGCGCAACTGTTCAAATGTTGGAAACTCGAGCATTCAGATATGCTTAAAAACTTGTAACATGCACATCTCCAGGATATAGATCAAGATATATAGGCATCCATACAGAATAATGCCGTAGATTAGGTCCGTCTCAAGTGCATTCCTACCAAGAACCCAGATAGCCGAGACTCGCATGGGGCAATGCCTTCTAAACATTTGTGATTAACCAACCGGAGATCACAATTAAAGTAAAGAACCAAAATTTCAACTCTTGAATTCTAGAAACCGAAAAAAAACGACTCTAAGAATGCTCAACTAATTTGAAATTAAAGATAGTTTACCGAAAAACCATCAAACTTAGAGATACGAGTTGCAATAGATTACCACTCAACGTGATAAGTAGACGAACCCATCGACATTTTTGACAATAATGACATAGAATTCTTCCGACTCTGAAGAAGTGCAAATGGAGAAACTGAACCATAAGCGATCCTTCGCTTCTGCGCCTCATCGATCTCTCCATCTTCAGAGCTTAACTTCACCTCCACAACTTTCCCGCCAATTTGATCATTGGAGTTTCCAGAACCCTCGGCGCTGGAATTCGACGATTTTTTTCCGAAAAAAGACACACGAAGGCAATTTCCTTTGGACCAGGAGATGGAGAGGCGAGAGATTGGGGCTTTAAGGTCGTGGTGGAGTGAATAAACAACTGGGTCTCTCACGTCCGGCGAAAAAGGAACAAGAGAATCACTGGGATCTGACATACGTCCGGGCATGTTGGTCCGGAGTCGCGGGAACCACCACTGACGTCCCTCGTTTAGGGCTTTGGAAGGGTTTTTGAACCGCAGGAGAGGGAGAAAAACACTTAATACTAAGCTGTTCGATAGCTCGTTTAGGTCTAAGCGTTCGTTACCATTTTTTGGTCAGCCTTTACTTTTTACTGTAGCAATGATTACATGATTTGTTTTTTAGAAACACCCTTAATCTGTTTCTTCTTCCCTTTACGCTAAGACCGTAATATGACCCTATTTATGTATTATTTAATTAAATAATTAATTATTTTATTATAGGCTAAATTATCAAATAATTCATTATTTCAATTATATAATTATTAATTAATTAGTGGTTAATTTGATAAAAAATAATTACGTAATTAATTAATTCTAAAAATAATTATTATTTTAATTAACAATATTAATTAATAATACTAAAAATTTTAAGAATAATAATAAGGGAAAATTCCAAATTAATACCCTATACTTTGGGCTTAGGGCTACTTTGGTCCCTAAATTTTAAAATGCAACAATTTAGTACCCAAATTTTCAAAACGTGACAATTTAGTACTTGTCGTTAACCAATCGTTAAGTGGCATTTAAAAAGACACAAATGCCCTTCAAGTGTCATCTACTTTTCTTTATCAACCATCCAAATATTGACAAAAATTTAACAGTCTCATATCCTTGCTTGTTCCATTCAAGAAAGTTGGGGTCATTTGCATTGAATTGACTCCTTCAATCTCGACGATTGAATATGAATGGGCTATTATGATTTCTAGCAAGCCGCCWTGGTGAAATTGGTAGACACGCTGCTCTTAGGATGTAGTGCTAGAGCATCTCGGTTCGAGTCTGAGTGGCGGCATCTTCTAAAAGATGTATAATAAATCCTATAATGAATTCAATTCCCGATTTCCATTCCGCACTTAAGGGGGGCTCAGTGGGAATTTTTTGTCAGCGTTTAGATGGTTGATAAAGAAAATTAGATGACACTCAAAAGGGCATTTCTATCTTTTTCAAATGCCACTTAACAACTAGTTAAGTGGCATTATGCCCAAAGTACAGGGTACTAATCGAGAAATTTCCCTAATAATAATAGTAACAATGAGGTAATATTTAAAATTATTATTATTATTACTATATTTTATTATTTATGCATTATTTAATTATTTTATTGTTTGTTTTATTATTTATTAATTCATATTCTTAATTAATTAAATATTAAATACATAACTATTAATTCTTATTTAACTCATTAATTAAAAAATATGTAATTTATGTATTTTTAATATATTTAATTAATTATTAAATGCTTAATTCATTAAAAATGATTATGTAATTAACTAATAATTAATTACCTTGGTTGGGATGCAAACAGATCATATTGGATTCAAATTAGGGTATATCCAAATCCAATCTGACACTTTACGAGCCGATCCCATCAATTCGAAAATCTGATTGGATGTCATAAGTACGGATTCGAATTTGAATCCAATGAAGAAGTCGGATTTTCATATTTGATCCGATCCGATAACAATATGAGACCCGAATATCAGGCGAAGTATAGAACTAAAAACTTTTCAATAATTCATTTTGAAGATGGGTTTGATTTTGAAATTTCCCAGCTGTAATACTTAAAGGGCTTTCAAGGAGTCATCATTTGCAAAATATAAATGTATAAGTTTTATTATTTTTCTTTTAGTTTGTTACCAGGTCGAAGTATCTCATGTCTTACAGAAAATAGGGCTGTAAGACGCATCATCCCCAGTACCAGTTCCTGTGGTTGAAAATAGGGCTGCTCAAGCTCTCAATGTACACCATAGGATATATAGGACGATTGATAAAGAAAACCAGTCACAACAGTCTCTCTTTCTACAATATATATTCTAAGAAAAGTGTTCTAATGGTGAATATGGAGCAAATGCGCGATAGGTGAAAGACCTGTGCATGGCCTTATCGTGCTACTAGAGAAACTGTTACATCATTTACTGAGCAAACTCTTAATTGATCTACAGACGCATCATCCCCAGTACCAGTTCCTGTGGTTGAAAAAGCAGGCTTTCTGGGAGCTGGTAAAGCTATAGCTTCATTGTTAAGCATGGAAACAACATCAGACATGGTGGGTCTGTCCAATGTTCTTTCTTGAACGCACAGTAGCCCCACTAGAAAGCATCTCATTAGTTTGCCAAAGGAATATGCATCATCTAATACTGGATCCACGAACTTCAGGCTTCTTCCTTCATTCCACAACTCCCATGCCTGAAATGTATAGATAATTTGTATTGCTATTAATCTCGCTCTAAGCAGTACGTACTCTTTTAAGAGCGAATTGCATGATCATAAAGATAAAATATGAACAAAAGCCAACCAAGTTTTCTTAAGTCACTCACATAGCCTAGAAGATTTAGGGAATCATCCGGACCATGACCCAATTCCGAAATCAGTACTCACCTTGCTTGATGGATCATATAAAGCAGCATGTGCACCTGTAAAATTCACTCGAGACGGCATATAATAGTCATATGCCAACACATGTACCCAATCCAAATTCCTCCCTATTGCAGTCAAGATCAGCCAAGTCTGGGTGAGTAATGAACTGTTGCAGTCAAGATCAGCTTTGGCTCACTGGAGTTCACCGCGGTTCTCCACTCATCAAAGAGTTTGCCCATGTTAATCATGTCGGACTCTGTGCCCGGAGACACCCAACAGAGGTCTATACTATGGAAGCCGTATAACCTGGCAATTTTCATTGAGGAATCGATGAAGGCCTTTCGAGAAGAGGATTGGTTAACCATGGCAGAGAAGGTTAACGAATCCGCGTCGCTGCCACCAATGGATAGAAGGGTTTTGATGGATGGGTACTTCTGTTGGACGGTCTTGCTGAAGGTGGAGAAGTAGGGTTCATCAGATGAGGAGATATTCAGCTGGTAGGTGTAAGGGCTGACATCTGCAAGTGCACAAAGGAGGTGAGAGAAGAGAGAAGAATTTATGTCAGAGATGGGGAAGCCAGTATGCAGCCTTAACCCAAGTTTTCGCATCTGAAAAATGTGGTTGCAGAAGAAAAACAACTTTTGGCGCCATTATTGAAGAAAAGGGTTGCTATAGCTAGGCCGTGGATGGTTACGGAAATATATAGGACATGGATGGAACAGTCTCCAAACTAATAAAAGAGTACAACACGTCTTGATCGCGTTGACGAATTAAGTTAACAAGAAACCCTCTTCCTCAAAATTAAATTATCTAATTAAGTATATTAGGCTCCGTTTGTTGCTGCTAAATAGCTGGTGGCTATGATCGATGCATATCCTTTGAGTATTGAGATGATGATGAATTTGATTGTTTTCTTTTCCTTAGCTATTCACTCCATTCAGAGAAACATAAAGGCTCAGTATGGGATTGCACTGTACATATATATTAATTTGTACTTTTGAAAACAAAATTGTCGAACACCCCCTTAATCACTATAACCGTTTACTGCCCAGATTGAGCTTCAAAATATATAGATATATTAAATTAAGGTTATTGTTACATCCCCATTGACGGGGTAAAACCCCTTCTAGCTAGCATGCATTATTTTGGACTGTCAAAACCTCCTGACTTCATGATGATAAACTCTTCACCGAGTAATTTGTCTCTCCATATTGGTAAGTTGGTCAAGAAATTGGACATAAATGTCAGCTTCATTGATAAGGAAAATTGAAGAATTTCACAAAATTTACCAAGTGCTTTCCCTCAACTTTTTATTTCTTTATTATTTTCTATCGAACAAAACATAGACTTAATGAAAAAAACTTTCTTCACACACACACCAATCCTCTCTGTTCACCCTTCTCTCTCTCTCTCCAACTTCCCTCCCCCTCCCCTTCATCCTCTTTTCCTTTTCTTTATTCCCCTAAAACTAGGGCTGTCAATGGGTTGATTCTAACTGCGTGAACTAAACCAATTATATTCGTTCTATTTCTGTAATTTTGTCCCCAATAATAATTGGGTCAATTTTAGATCCTGCTTGTTCTGAATCCGTTATTTAAAAGATTTTTTATTTTTCTTGTAATTTTTATTGTATGTTAAGAATGAATGGATAAATTTGATAGATAATATATAAGTTCAGTTAAGAACACTTGATTTATTAACACAAAATTTTACTATTGTATTATCATTTTTATTAAGGTTATATAATCAAAGATCAATCTTTAGATAGTTATAATTATTAACATAAATAATTAGGTTATCATAACATCAAAAACCTTTGAGTAATTAAAACAAAAATTGATATTACATATTTTCATTCTAAACATTTTAAGACAAATAGATACATCTCACAATTGTCCTTGACAAACGTTGCATAATCAACTCTTAATGAATTTTATTAAATACATCTCTTTCAATATACGTGATCAAGCAATCCTTCATTTAATGATCTCCCATTTGATGATTATGTAGTTGGTTTTTTACTATCTTTATTATAGAAAATACCCTTTTTATTATAGTTATGACAACAACTAAAATCAATGCTAATTTCATCAACAAAAAAACCAATGGATAATCAAGATACCTTCTTTTTTGTTAGGCTATTAATCCCCCCCCCCCCTTAAGTTTAAAAATTCAGCACAAATGTGCATATCACTGATGTAAGTCTCTAGTTTATTATCAAGTGCCATAAGATCTATTAGTGAAAATTCAAGTAGATAAAACTGAGTAAGAAGAATCAACTTTTACTTGCTAAAAGCATAGAAAGCTTTATGTAGATTTAAGCATGTTACTCAAAGAAACAACTTGACATTTAGCTATGTGAACCAATCGTTGAACTCTTGAAGTTGTATATTTATAGCAGTGTAGAATAACTCAACATGATAATGGTATTTGTAATACGTTGAGATTTGAATCATGATCGCCCTTTAATTACAAATACTTCATCTATATTGAGGATGCCAATATCATAATTGCTACAAAGTAAGGAAACTTCATTCAACAAAAGTTCCCACCGGTTATCTTGCATCATTTGCAATTGTTCTTTAGATCTATCTTAACTAATTTTATAGTATTAATGATATCTTGGTCTTTCCTTTGCATACTTATGATAATTCATTTGTGATTGACAAAACATTTTTCATTAAATGTAAAGTAAATGCAAAATCAAATGACTACTCTAAATCTAAAAGGCCCCTAGCTTTAACTCTTTGCTTTGAATCCAAACCATCTTCTATAATAATATCTAATATATCAATCACTAAAGAAAACATGAGAATTAAATTCATTAATGTACTATGACTGGACCCCATCCAATATCACCAAACGATTAAGGCTAATTTCTTGATTTATGCCTTGTCCACTAAGAATTTCTCCATTTTCCAATGGTTCTCTAAAGTTTACAATTTATTTCTCTTGAAGCATATCAAGAAGCTTACATTAGCCTCCAACAACATCAATAAATTGCCAAAAAAAACATCAATAAATTAGCAAATAAATTGAAAAGTGAATCAATTTGAATGTGATTCTTTACAACAAGTGTAAGCTGTAGTTGATGAACAAAGCAATGAACATGGAAAGCATATGGTTTTCTTTCAAAGTAAAACTTTTAAAACCATTAATCTCACCTTGCATATTACTAGCACCATTAGTCTTCTTCATAAATTCTTGACATACTCAATTCATATTTATAAATTAATGATTCAATTGCTCTATGCTAAGGGGTGAATCAATAGTATTACTAACGTATATGTGAATGTCAGAAAAAACCAGCAATTCACTTCCTGGCTGATTGTTTAGAGTTGCCACCCACCGAAATCACAAAGTAGGGAGTGATGTGTCTCCCGAACAATTGCAATTAAACAAAAAAAAAGGGCTCTAGGCCTTGTCACCGAAGATGTAGGTAAGATAAGAGAGAGAGAGAGGGAAGGGGTTAGGCAYCCCTCTCTCTGATCAGTGCAAATATTAATTCCATTCCTAGAAATTACATTAGAAGAAGGCAATAGAAGAAGAACTTGTCGTCCACCTACAATGGAAGGGAGCTCCTATAACTGGGCATCTCTTCCTCCCCATTTAATCTCCTTTTAGGTATAAGGGCCTGAGCAAAGGGGTGAGAATACATTCCCACCCCTTTTCTATCAGGACCCCCACAATCTTACTCAGTCGATTAGCTGGAAGAAGGAGAGAGCCCTTGAATTTCTTCCTTTGATTACAAGAAGATGCAAACAACCTCTAGCTTTTAAGAAAACCCAAAATAAAGAAGTAAAAAAAGAATGAAACTACAAGGGAGATGAGGTAAAAATCTCACCTCTTGTAACCTTCCAAGGAAGAAATCGAAGCTACTAAATTTGAATGCACAGGTTTAGAATAATTTGATGAAGTTGGGGAAACTCTAGCTCGGATGTGACAAAGGAAGCAGATCGTGGGCACTTGCGGTGACACTAAAATCCGACAACGATGGTAGGAATGGCTGATGTATTCATTTGCGTCTCCCCCCTTTGTCTCTCTAATCTCTCTCATTCATTTCTCTATTTCTCTCAGCTCTCTCTCTCTCTCTCTATCGTTTTTTTCTCTTTAGCGCTCTTAGCTCTCGGAAGAGCTTCTCCCTTTCTCCTTTCTTTCTCCTTCAGTCTCCCTCACTCCTGAAACTCTCTGTTCTTAGCTCGGCATCTCCTCAAAGAGGAAAGCACCGAGAGCCTCTCCCTTCCAAATTCCTCTACCTTCCGACCCCTATTCTCTTCAAAAACTCTTTTTTCTTATGCGGATGGTGCCTTTATTTATAACGGAGGGTAGTGGAAGGTTCTATCAATTCTCAAAAACAAAAGGGGGTTTTAGGTAAGTTAGGGTTTAAATGGATAGGAGGGCTCAATTCTTGGGGTCCGATGGGCAATTTAGAAATTTATGGTAATTTGGGGAGAAGGGCATTTTGGTAATTTTAGGTTAAAAAGGATATTTTGGGGATTTAAGGAATGAGGTGTATCTTGGGAGTTTGGATACAATGAAGGTATTTTGGGAATTTGAAATGAAGGGAAAATTTTGGAATTTTAGGGTATGAAGGACATTTGGTTAGGGGGTATTTTGGTAATTTGGAAGGAGGGTAACTTTGGTAATATTGTTTGAAGGGTATTCTGGTAATTTGGAATGGGGATATTTTAGGAGTTAGGCTTGAGGAGTATTTTAGTAATTTTGTTAAAGGTAAATTGGAAATTTGGAGAAAAGGGTATTTTGGTAATTTGGTCCAAGGGATATTTTGGTAACTCGACAATGAGGGAAGGGTACTGTGGTAATTTGGCTTTAAAGGGTATTTTGGTAATTTAGCCCATGACATTTTGGGAATTGGGAATTTAGGCTATTTGAAATGAAGGGTATTTTGGTAATTTTGGTCAAGGGGGTATTTGGGGAATTTGGATAAGGGTAATTATGGTATTTGGTGCAGGGGTAATTTGGGAATTTAGTTAGGGGTAATTTGGTAATTTTGAGGAAATGTGTCAAACCAAGTCTAGGAGGGTCAAATTGGGTCTTTCGGTTCAATGGCGATGATTTTGGGCCACCAAATGGAAGGTTGAGATGGGTTTGACTACGGAGTGGGGTCGTGCATGTGCGGGTCAATGAGATCGGCTAAAATAGAATATCCATAGATGGATGGGTAAACGAAGGTATTTTTGGCTGAAATTTGATAAGATGGGGTTTTCAAACACTTTGGGTTGATTGGTGGGGTTTGATTTGTTTAGATGTGTTCGGATCAAAGGAATCTGGTTTTCCGAGTGTTTAGGCAAACGAGAGGCATTGGAACGGAATCTTGGTTTGATGAGGGGGTAAATGGAAGAATCTTGAGCTGATATTTCATGAATAGGTGTTTTGAGAAGACTTGAGTCTGATGGTGGCATTGGGTCTAGTGGTTGAGGTGTAGATGAGGGGTGATCAGGGCCATCAAATCGGTATCAGGTAGATTTAACGGTGGATCTGAGGGATCTCGAGGGTGAAAGTTGGGGTTTTGGGGTGTTTCAGAAATGTTGGAAGGGTATAATTGAGAGTTTGGGGTGAATTGGAGGTTCAAGCGGCTGACTAAGCAAAAATCATGTGCTAACAATATACAATACCAAGACAATGTTTAAAAACACTTCCTTTTTTATCTATATAACACAAAGTAACAACCATTTATCCTTTATTTGATATATCATATGACATTAACTATAATAAAAAATAATTCATCTCCAAGATCCTCAATTATTGCACTTGTGGTCTCAATTGTAGCAACAATTAAAATATCATATTGATTGTTTCATTTTGATATGCAAGAAACTTGAGAAGTTTAATGAAATTATCTTGATTAGTGAAAATCTTATATTCATCATGACCACAAAAATACAACCCTTTGTGCAAAAAAAAAAAAAAAATGAATGGAATCAATTGATGTTGTTAAACAACTTTAATATATGCTTCAAGCATGATTTGATTGCTTAGATAGACAAACTTCAATGTATTGGCTTTGGTTCATCAAATCTTGTCACTTCTTCTAAGCATGGTTGTAAGCATTATTTGGGCCTCTAACATGAATATAAAACTTTTCTTTCTTTTTTTAATTTATAAATCCCTCTATAATAAATGAATCCCTACCCCCTTTCTTTCCAAGGTATAGCCTATAAAGATAGCAACACAAGAAAAATGCAGTGTTCTTTGCTACTCCGACCAATTACTAAACTTATCAAACCAAGAAGAACAAAATCTTCTTGACATTTATCTAATTTTTCTCTAGGGAAAAATATAATGACAAGGTTGACAAGGTTCCTTTTGTGAGTATGCTCTCTATATCTTGTTATGATCATTTGGATGATAATCTGAATATTTAGTTCATAACCCAAGATCTGCTGAAAACGTTCTATGTTGATCGATCTCAACTCAATGCTGCTTTGAACAATTTTGCATATAATCTATATGCTTAGCTTCTTAAGGAGATAAATGTTGCTCTAATACTGATTTCCTTCTCAAAACTTATCCATAACCTCTCAAAATAATCAAATTAAATGACATATATTAAACTGCTATTTCGATTGAGTATACAATATAGCTAGGTTGAAGCAATATCTATTTATAATTTATAAAAAGTACATGAAAGTAAAAGTAATCTAAAATTTAATTCTAAGTAGATAATAAGCAATTAATTGCAATATGTATCCAAATAAACTAAAATTGATACCACAAAAAAAATGAAATATAAGGGCTCTTGTTTACTTCTTTAAAAAAAAAAATACCACAAAATTAACAAACCCCTTTACAACACCATTTTTCTAAGAAAAATCACCATTAAGAAAGAAATTATAAAAGTAAACATAATTTTAAATAGGAATAATTGCTACCCTAAACTATTTGACAATTACTTGAGGTTTGAAGTAACCCAACTTAAAGACCCTTAAAGTATGATGTAATATTACACACACTAACCTTCTGTTAGTTGACTGACACATTCTACTTACATGTGACATCACATAACACTTCTAATTTACCCTTAATTGTCACGACTGACCTTACCCATGTCCATACAACAATATGCATTAATTCTCGTATTGCTATCAAACATTACAAATCCCGCATAGAGATGTGGCTCTCTAATGTGTTCAAAACCCCTGTGCCTAACTTGTTCCACAACTTTGCCGGCATTCTTGTTAACTAGGAGAGCAAATCTCCCTAGTTGTTGTATTGTTGTTGATTGATGGGAATAAGTGACTTATTTTTTCTATTTATGATTGCCATTTGAACCTATGCAAGCAGTCACCATCATAAGAAAACCAAGACCATCATAAGAAAACCAAGACCTTATGGAGAAACAACTTCATGAATGTTGGTTAAGTTAGGAATCAAATTTAACATGGTTGTGCTAGAGCTCGTGGCTAGAGGAATTAAAAAAAAATTCTAATTCAACCTAGGAATCAGTTTTTTAATAATTTGAAATTTAAATTTCTAGATCGATTTTACGTTAAATCGGACTAGATTTGAAACCCAAATTAAATGCTGATCGTACCAGATATAGAGCCCAAAAAGTAATTCATAGAGTGATAGTTACACCCAATACTAGACATAGATTGACCTCCTGATGAAGATGGCACAATAATGTGTTTGAAGCCAATTCAACAAATCAAACTTCAACCTCCTTGGATTGATGCAATTGTGTTTAAAACTTGATATGGTTGATGTTTTTCCCCCAAAACACAACTAAGGACTGAAGAAAATCAATCTCTACAGTGGCTAGTACAAATTAGGGTGCAAAGGGAAGAAGGAAAGAGTGTAATGGTGTGGGGAGAATTGGATGGTTTGCTTTCTCCCTCTCGTCAGTTATATATAGCATTCTCCTAATCTTATTTGGAGTTGATCGAAATAAGATTTTGATCAAGACTTATATATCTTTAATTAGATGTGTATTATCTTCTTAAGTGAATGGGTGTTTCATACCCATGAAAACACTATTCACAAGGGAGGACCTCTGTCCTAACTAGAGAGTACATTGTCACACTCTTTTCTCATATAGATCTTAGGATTAAAACCTTTTATAAATATTTTTAATAAAATTATAATATAATATATAAATGCACCGTGTAAACTAGATTTCAAATACAGTTGAAATTCATTATTAATAGTTTAAGTTTTCATTAGAGAGTGTAAACCCTAATATTCACTTTGTTTGACAAATGGGCTGACCTTATCATTATGATTACTCGCTCAGGTAATTTTTCAAATTGTTCCAACATGCCCAATTATTATTTGACCCTTAATAGATCTTATTGGTTGGCATATCAAAAGTAGTTCAATCCAATACCTAGTGTAATATCATAATTAAGTCTAAGGTTAAGTGCAACTTTTCAGTTTTGCCTATTTGTCCCAAGGTTTAGGGCATAATTGGAAATTAGTCTAGGTTTAATATTTCTTCTAAATAATCATTGACTATGCTAGGGGTCTAACCTTAGTAGCTGAAACAAGTTGATCTACCAATTCGGCAATATATTAGTATTAGCCTTATCAAGATAAATTCCCCAAGTTTATCCAATGATTGAGAACATTCTAAATTAACATAAATTTCATAAATATTCAATTTAAAGAATAATTCATAGAAACACACCAATTGAAAATAAAATAAAGTGTACTTATTTTAATCATATTGAAAAGTCTATATACATCAATCTTATTGGAGCAAAGAGCATACACTGTCTAACAATGAATTTATCTCCTTTTATAGTTTGTTTGAGAGTACAAGTACGGGTGCTTATTTAGGTTACACTTGGGACTTATTGTTTAGACTCAAGTACAGGTGATAGCTATGTGCAAGGTGTTATATTCTAAAATAAGAGAGTTTCTGTTTAAAAATGGTAGATTAGAGAAGAAATGGGCAAAGTTATGTGTTCTACATAGTTTGGAAGACCATGTTAAGCAATCAAATTTGGAAGATTGGATAGCCTGAGCGTAACCATTGTAATTATCAATTGGAAGTTGCCTTAGCCATACTGGCAATGAATGCCTATGCTCCTTCATCCATTTGAGTTTGAATTTCTAGTTTCTATTTTGATGTCATTTTTCAATAAATTTTCTTTTTTTCTATTCTATACAGGGATTGTGGCCCTATTTTTGGGTTACCTAGAGAGAGAGAGAGAGAGCTTAGTCATCACCGCTTGGTTTTGATTGTCTATGTTTGAAAATAGAGCAAGAACGAGAGGGTAGGAAGGGAAAATGAGTATGTTTTAAATTTTAAACAGAA